TTAAATAGCTACTACATAAACATATAAGGTGCGATCACATGACATTATTTGATAATACGTAGAAACCTAAGAAATTTATATAGGACCACGAAAGTTTGTACTCACTTTTACGGGCTAATATTGACTCCCACAAACGAGTAGCTTTTGATACTAAATGGGAATTCTGACTTGAACTAGAAACAAGGTCATCCCAGTGTTCCCCTTCCAACTTCACTTTGTTCCTAAGGTCATGTAATTTTTCCAGTTCTTGCTGTAAATAAGCCTGAGATTCATGCAAAGACAAACATAAGAATACAAATTGTATCGTAGTAGATGAATTGCAAGATTTTTCAAATAAGCTTCTACCAAAATAAGTTAATCTTCGGAATGTGACTTGTTACCCTTATACCTCTTCAGCACAAAGACCACGAAACTCTGCAGTCATTTCATGAGCCAAATTCGACCACATGGCCTGTCTCTGTACTGCTGTTTCCGCATTCTTAAGAAATCTTCTTCGTTCAAGTGCTATTCTAGCCTGTTTAAGATCAAATAATTGCTACTGAATAAGCATGTCAAAGACGAAAACTCTACAGAAAAATGCACACATGCATTTAACCCTGAAAACTCAATTAAGAGTTTTACAGAAAGAGAAAAATGCAGATGTGCATTCAACCCTGAAAACTCCACAGAAAAATGGAGATGTGCATTCAACACTGAAAACTCATTTAAGAGTTATACAGAAAGAGAACGACTTTTTATGTTTGTGAAACACTTCCATGCTATACTAAGATGCAAAACCAACATGAACATACCCATAGCTAGGCATATCAATAATTTGGGAACAACAATTTCAAGTTGTCATCGGAAATTTAAATTATGCATGCTTCAACATTATACATGTAGTTCAAGCCTACCTTTGTGACAGGAAGTAAAGTGGCTGCGTGTGAAAAAGCTACATCAGTCAGTGATGCAGGAAGTGGGTTAGAAGCTACATCAGCTGCAAATGTTCGCCTATGAACCTCTCGCAAAGCATGCAAAGAAAGTTGCCACAGAAGTTCCACAAACCTGCAATCAAAAAATGAAGCTTATGAATTAAGGACCCAAACCCATAAAATTGTTGCGCAGAAGTAAGACATGGTCATTTTAACTAAGAAGAACCACCACAACATTTGAAGAGAAAGCATTAATTCCTATATCATCAAATGGTTGATTTGGGGGGAAACAAGTTCATTGTCACATATAACTACATGTTCCTTGCATTCATTTCATAATTATTTCTCACTCTAATGCAAAATGGCTGGCCAAGTGCGCCCATCAAAACTACGAACCTCAGTCAAATTAAGAAGCAAACTGTTAGTAAATGTGAATTTCGGGTTTCTGTCAATTTTCTCGCCAAGCAAGCCCAACTCCACCTCAGAAATGCACATAAACAAATGTAAAAAACTCATAAAAACCATGGCAGGAGTAGCATCATCAACCGACCTGGGTCCGCAACATGTAGCGAGTGATGAAACCCTCGAATTGCTCCTCGGAAGCGCCCCTTGCGATTCGAGCTCGCTAATTATCCCTTGCACAACCTGATCACCAACAACAAGTCATCCCATTTCATCCAAATTTTCAAACTTTAAAAGAATATCAAACCAGAAGCAACAAGGAAAGTGGAATCCTTGAATTTACCTTTCTAAAATCCCGCGATTGCGCGGAATCGAAGATTGGCCAGACCTTATCGAAATCCTGAAGATCTCAAATCGTCAGGAACGTGATCCATAGCAGAAGATAGTGTAACAAAGATTCAAACACATACACATACACAGAAGTGAAATTCAAACATACACACACACACACACACACACACATAGTGTAAATATAGACGAAGGAAACTAAATCGAGAGATTGTACTACCTTGGCGGATTGAATTGGGCCTCTGAGAGAAGAGAGGATGAAGTAGAGGAGCTGTTCGCCCAATTTAGGGTTGGAGTGGCGGAAGAACCCGACCCGAGGAGTGGCATTGGAGCCTCCGAGCCCGATAATCGCCGGATCCAACCCTAACAGCAAACAGTTAGTGTACATTGCACTCTCTAGCTCTATCTCTCTCTCCTTCTCTCTGTCCATTGTCATCACCAACCTCCCTCTCCCTCTCCCTCTCTCTCTCCCCTGTTTCTCGCTCTTCTGCTCCGTTCTGAATCCGGTTCAATATTTTTGGGGTATTTTTTGGGTTTTCTTGAAATGCAGGTCCCTGAGGGAGTTATCAGATTTTGAATAAGTTGGGGTTATTTTGAAAATAGGGAAATGTGGAGGGACCTGCGTTTAAAAATTCAATTTTTTTTTATTTTTTAATATTTTTGTTGGAGGGTATTTGTGCTTTATTTGATGCCGTTTTGAAGAATTTGAAAGGTGCTGACGTGGGCTAATGATATAGTATTGCCGGCCAGCTCCGAAAGCGTTAGGTGTCGTCACGTCTTGTGGTTTGGTGAGGATCTGTTTTACGGTGGTCCAGTGGACCATCTGTGTGTGGTTCAGTGGTTAAGCTGAATTGTAGATTTATGTTCACACCTTACGTCTTAAATTTAATTTATAGCGCTTTGTGAGAATTAACTCATGTTGCCTTTTAACTTGTCCATATAGTTTAGTTTTGTGTTCAATGAAGTCAAAATGTACATTGAGTTGATTGACTATCATATAACGAGATATACAATTTCTTTTTGGCTTTCTAGCGGCAGAAATCGAACCAAATCGCGTAGTAAAATTTGGATAAGTATGTTTAGACGTTTTTTGGCCAGTTTGAGGGCCATCTCTAGTTAATAACACTGAACCACACTATGTGATCCTTTGGAGTGACTTAGATTTGTAATTTTGCTTAGCTTGGGTGCCAGCTAACCACTAAATAAGTGATAGCTTCATTGGAGACAAATGAATGAGTAAACATAAAGGTTTATATAAGAAAAGAGTAGGTTTGGTGAGCAATAGACTGTTTGGGGGTGGGGCGGATGCAGCCATTTTATATTAATTATTTTAGAATACTTTTCTAACGAGAGTCTATCTAGAGTTTCAAATTTAATGATGACAACTAAACATAAGGATTGCACTTGTTGTGAAACTTGACCCAACACCTTAAGACACGAGCTAACAGCAGCTATGAATCATCTGTGTCCGCATTCCCCAAGGCATCCCTCTCTTTTAAGAAGGCAGATTGTCTTCCCTCCTGTTTGGATGTCTTTCTTATCCCCTCCTATTTTGTGCGGTCACGGTTAAGTCATGTTAACATTTTATATATATTTTTTTTTATAGAGATAATAAGACAAAAAACAATATCAATATAAAATGTTGACGTGGTTTAAACGTGACTGCACAAATAAGAGGAGATAAGAAGGGCATTTAAACAGGAGGGTAGACAATCTGCCTCCCTCTTTCAAAGTGTAGTGAATAGTGATTCAATTCCAAAGTTTTAGTTGATTAGATAGTTGATTAGAAATCTTTTTGCTTTATCCAGCAAAATGATGATGCCTAAAGCAGGCCACCCAAATTTGAACATGCTTGTGCGGCTAAAATACAATCTTTATCACATTCATCCCAAAGCCCACCAGCAAAGGCAAATTGGCTTTGTATAAAAGCAATTTTCAAGAGCCTTTTTATTTTTTTCTTTCTTTAAAAAGAGGGATAATTGGTAATAAATCACGGTTATTTACCTTTTTAAGTTTCAAGGATTGGGAAGACTCACAGAGTCATTTCAGCCTCCTCCTAGCCACAAGTCTGGCATCCACACCAGCAACGGATTTTGAACCTAAGACCTCTAGTTTTTAGTCTGAAGGAAGTCTCGCAATCCGTCATTTACCACTGGGCCACCATCTCGTGGTTGAAACTTTGTATTATTTTGATATAGGATATTAGGAGTGGGGAATTCAGTATGTAGTCCAATATCTTAGGGGATAGGGAACGTGTTTTATATTCGAAACTCTCTCTTCTCTAAATTAGAGTGGATAGGGTTTTGGGTTTCCACCCATATTTTATGGATTCAAAACTTCCTTTCTCTAAAATTATTGTAATATTTTGGAACATTTCCACTCCCCTTAATAATAATATTTTTTTATGCATAACAAAAAAAAAAAAGAGGAGAAGGGAATTCAAACTATGCCAAACACTAACATAATTTGATGTGAAATCGAGGGATCAAATTTGTTTTCAATGGAGTTAGACCTGAAACTTTTGACTTATAAATAAAGAAGAATACTTTTAATAACGAATATTATTAAATTGTAGCACTAATGACTAAGAAGTTTGAGTTTCAATCTATATCATGGTGCATAAAAAAAGCGAATCTATTATAACCAATATGATTACGTCTGCATTTGTTCCAAAATGCATTTTATCTCCACAGGGGGCCACAGCCTTTTGTTTTTTTGGTCCAATCCACAAGCTACAGCCTATGTGGTCTCCCTTTTTTAGTTTCTTCTTTGAAGTCCACATGCAAATCAGTTGGCACCCAAATTGTAGCCCAATATCAATGTGGGGGTTTTGCCCACAAAATGTTGCATTGTAAATTCAAAATTACTGCAGTAAAAATTTGGAAAACTTTCACATGTGCAAAATTATCAAATAATATAATATGTTATATTAAGTTAGATTGGATGATCGAATCGAATCAGCCTTGATTATTATTCGAATTCGTTTATAATCAAATTATCAAATTTCGATCTTATTCGAATAGTTAGATTGAAAATTACGATCGACTTCCTATTAATTAATTGAATTTAAATTGAGTTCGGGTCAAAATTCAATTTACTGGCAAGTTTACTAATGCCTCATTTTTTTTCTTTCCTAAGTTTTTTTGTTTTTGTTTTTGAACAAATAAAATTATACGCTAAGCGGGTGAGGGAGTAGGCTAAACCTTATAATAGGTTAACCATAATAATATAATTCAAATTTATGATAGTCGAACCTAAAACATCTGACTTATAACTATAAACAAAAATGAAGACTATTAGAGTATGCCATACGTATAAAATACGACTCACGCAGCGAACGGCGAATCCCTTATACAAATAAAAGAATAGAATCGTATAACTTAATCGGATCCCTCTGATTCATTTTCTGTTGGTGTGGGATTTCTCGGAGTGTCGCTGATGATTGTTGATGCTTCTTCTCACACACCCTTGAAAAGAAGGAAGTTCAGAAGCATTGATCCCATGGAGGCCGAAGAAGCTCAGGTTTTTTTTTTTAACCCAAAAAGTCCCAAACTTTCACTCACTCGCATTCGTATTTTCTTGATTTCAGTTTCTGGGTATTTGTTCTTGCTGCTGGGTCGATCTGGGTTTTCTGTGTTATCGATTTTTTTTGGGTTTAAATTGCTGATTAGTGATTGTTGGCTGCTTCGAAGTTGTGGGTTGGTGCCACAATTAGATAAAGATTTACAGGTTTTTGCATAATCTTTAAGAACTTATCTAATTGTGGGAATAATTACTTCTTATCAAGAGATTGAATTTCTTGAAAAAGGATAACTTGAGTTTATGTGGAGCAAAAATGTGGAAGATTTTGCAGTTTTGTGTGAATAATTACTTCTTATCAAGAGATTGAGTTTCTTGAAAAAGGATAACTTGAGTTTATGTGCAGCAAAAATGTGGAAGATTTTGCAGTTTTGGATTCTAAGAACAGTTTTACTGTTTTGCGTGCAAGTTTTTTTGCGTGGTTCTACTTCGTGTTTTCGATGACTTCGTTGTTTAGTAGCATTGTAACTACGATATCCAAATTACATGTTGTAGTAATAGGTTGGTGCAAAATATTGCTATTCTTGTCGTGGATGAGGATATGAAATACCGCTTTTCGAATTGAGATAATTCTGTATTCCAGATTAGATTGTTCCTGCTATATCTTATATCACATATACTTTTTCCTTTTTTAATTTGTTGGGGTGAATTCAGGCCAAGCTCACAGCAGCAAAAGAAAAGGTCGGGAGAGAAATCCACGTTTTTGAAACAACATCAGCATCTTCTTCTTCACAAAGTGAAGAGTCTAATACTGGCATGAAGCAATTCAACTAATATGCCCCATATTTTTTTCCAAAGCAAGTGCATTTAGACGCCTGATAGAATTTTACTTTGTGTCATTTTTTTTGTTTTGCAGAGGAGACAGAGGATTTCTATGAGTTCACTGCAGAAGATTATTATCGGGTTTTGAATGCAAAAAAAGAAGGTAATTGACAGAAACTGTATCATCTGTAATTGTAGGGGAAATATAAAACCTTTTGCATGCTTTTTAAGCTACATAATCTGCTTGTAAATCTTATAGCAAGTATATATGAATGGGAAGCACGTCTTGTATTCGCACAAACTAAAAAACATGCACGCATGTATTTGTACACATTGTATTTATACTGACTATATTTTGTTGATGCAATATAAACAGATAAGACTCTTAAAACACGAAAGTTAAGAGAGGCAGAGAAGGCTGCCCGCAGGTCAAGGATAACAAAGGTGGTTGCTATGGCCCTTTTTCTGACTTTCTTTTCCTTGTTGTAGTGATTGGTTGTAGTTGTTATTTGTATATGATCATCTCCTTCCATTATCATCAGATAGAGACCGTGATCAGGGTTTGATTTTAATTAGTCGTATGGTTGCTTTTGCCCATTTATTAAGTTCTTGTGCTCATGTATGCAGACGGTGATTAGGGTTCGATTTCCTGATAATCACACATTGGAGGCCACTTTTAATCCATCAGAAACAGTTCAGAGCTTGGTTGATCTCCTCGTCAAAGTGGTTGCTCGACCAGAATTACCATTCTATATATGTATGCAAATACGAGTCAAAATATTGCGTTTTCCAATTTTGATTTCAGAGTAGAGTCTAACAGTTACTTGTGCAGATACCACTCCTCCGAAGAAGCAGATAAAAGACACGTCACAGGATTTTCACACTGCTGGATTTGTTCCCGGTGCAATTGTGTACTTTTCATATGACACACCGAAAGGTTGGCACATTTTCTATGATACGTTTCTTTGGATTGTAAGTAACAACGTTTGATGCTAAGTGATTAAGTATTCCTATTTCGTGTCCAGCGGATGATGCTGCAGATGCGGTGTCAGGTCCCTTTCTTCAGGAAGAGGTCATGTCTTTGAAAGGTTTGGAACTCATCAAGAAGCATGTAGAGCCGCCTGTTCAGTCTGCACCAGAAACCACATCGGAGGCACCACCCCCTGTTGTCCAAGAGAAGAAGCCCGAGGGGAAGAAACCTGCTAAGCCGAAGTGGCTGAAAATGTGACATGAATCGCGTTAGTAACTTCGCAGGTTCACCCTGTTAATCGTCATATGTTCTGTGAATCTTCACGCACAACTTGTTATCTCTAAGATTGTGCTGGTTCTCGCAACTTGCCCTCGGATGCTTGTTAGGAGTTTCAATAATTTGTGTTTTCTAGAACAAAACAATGTATGAATTTTAGCATCATGTTTGGATGTAACAATACCAAAATTACATTTGGATGTGCCAAATCCTTCCGGTGAGCAAACCCGCGCCGGATGGAAAATGGATACCACAAATAACAACCCCGTATTGCCTCAACCTTGTAAGCTTAAATACAATACAAATATCCTCAACCGATCTTCCTTGAAGTCCTGCAACCTCAGAACAAGGATCTCAACTTTCTCGGTTTAGACACCGCTGTACAAGCTCTTGATGCTCAAACCAATTCTAATAAGTGACATAAATGAACCTGTTGATAATTTTATCAGATGCTTTCAAGTAAAAAGCATCTTTAGTTCCTCTATGCGAGCCGTTCGAACTTCTTGGTCCGTCAAGGCTCCGGAAATCAGTCGCTGTTTACGTGCTTGCACTGCTTCCATTCGTTCCTCAACCGTTCCCTGCCATCCAATCACATCCGAGAATTACTAGACCAATCAGGGGGGAAAACTGTTACATTCATTGGTGATGATGCCTTTGGAAGACACTCATTAGTCTCCAGTACAAAATAACGAGTACCTTCACAATAAACCGCTTGATCATCACCCTTTTTGTTTGTCCAATGCGATGAATACGCATGACAGCTTGTTCCTCGACTGCTGGATTCCACCATGGATCCTGCAAACATGATTCGTGTGACTCAAAAAACCAACCAAATTTACCATAAACTTAAAGCTTTCTGCTATTATATATTAAAAAAAAAAAAACGACACCGAATCACAATTTTATCTTAAAAATCTCAAATCTGTGCATACCAAGACAAAAGCATTTGATGCTGCTGTCAGATTTATTCCAACTCCTCCAGCCTTCAGTGACATTAGCAACACCTGATGCAACAACCAAGCTCCAATGGTTACACCTAAACTGTCAAGTAGAATGAAAACCACATCCCTCGTTCAAAAACAGCACGAGATAGAATATGACGATGTGTCAGGAGTCACAACCTGGATGTCACTATCTTCTGAAAACTGTTTTAACACTTTCTCACGCTGCTGTTGATTCAGAGTCCCATCAAGGCGAAGAAATGGAATGTTACTCCTGGTCAAAAAATGGAAAAGAAATTAATCATAACTCTCGAGCAAAAAAGTACCAAGATACTATAACTCACAAACAGCAGGTGATCAAAAGAGTACAGTTATGTTTCTTGCTTCATTACACCATAGGCACTTTCTTTAAATATTTTATTCATATGGTAATTTTTACCTAGAAAGAGGGACCTGCAAGAGGTCCAGAAAAGCCGTCCACTGGCTGAAGACAATGCTTTTTGTGCCTGATGAGCGAAGAGATTCAAGTTCACGCAAAAGAATGACAACTTTGGATGATTCCACCCAGTTTTTCTCAACATCAACCTGAAACCGACTCTCAGTGGGTGCTGTAATAAGATCTTGCTTACTGATGGTCTTCCTGCAAAAAACAAACCGTTAAACCTTAAGAACATAATAGGAAAATTCACTACAAGAACTTCAAGAACAGAAATTGAACCTTTGCCCATAAACTAAATAAAAATAAAAATCCTATTTGAAACATAAAGCATTACTTAAATACCTACAAACAGGACAGAGACCAGAACTTGAGTTCCGCCAACTTGCCAAGAGACATTCACGGCATAAGCGGTGAGCACAAGGTGTTAACACTGCATCTTCAAAGGCTTCAAGACATATTGGACACTCTCCCTGTTCCCCCTTACGTATTTCTTCTACAACTTCTTGAACATAAGCACGTGAAGGCAGATCTTTGGCTTCCCCTTCCACAGAATTCTGTTTTCCTTTAAGGAAACGTCTAGCTAGCTTATCCAGATCAGAAAAGTCTTGTGTATCACCTCGGCTGAACAAATCAAACAAACTTAAAGCTAAGTTGTAAAAACTTAAAGAGACATTTTCCAGTATACATTTTTATAAATTTAAAATATTATCTAGCAAGTCCAGAAGGAAAAACAATTATAAAGGCATAGAAAGAATGATTGCCTATTCCAAGCACAAGTCATCATATATGCATCATAAAGCTCCTAAGGCTACATCTGGAGAAAAGAGGGGTTAAAAACACACACCTCATCACAAGAAATGGATGATCACAACACTGGCGAAGGCGTAAAAGCAACTCCAATATGGATGCATAATTATGAAGAACCCGTCCTTGCTCAACAAATTGATCAAACTTCACCTGAAAATAAAGAGAGAATTATTAATTATAATGCACCAAAGATACAACAAACCAATACAATACACAAAATGCAATCAGGTAAATCAGAATATATACCTTTGATCTTTTAAAGAGGGCCTCGTAGAAGTCTTTTTCAGCTTCTGTGAGTTCACAGTAAATCACCTGAATATCAGCTGGAGGAAGAACTAAAATTGGCCTGGAACAAACAGTAAACCTTAAGAGCCAAAATAGAAAGGAAAAGAAAAAAACTGAAAAGAATGATGCGTCCTGAGCTAGTAACTCACCTGCCTTCACGGTCTGTGCTAAACTTTGTTCTCCTTAACATGATTGGCTTTAAGATAGACTGAACCAACTTTAATCCTCTCTCATCACCCTCCTCAAAAGGTTTTTGTATGAGTTTATTCCACCTGAATTAAAAAAGAGAGTAAACTCAGAAACATATTACTGTGAAAGGTGAAAAAAAAGACCGGACAAGACCGTAAAGTAGAACATACCATGCCCAGTTTCCCCAAGGTTCTACCCTCAAAAACCGGAGAAGACTGTAAACGTCCTCCAGGTTGTTCTATGGGGAAAAAAATGTCAGGATATATAACACAAAATTAACCTCTTAAAATTAATAAATTCTCCAAATCTTATAAGAATAAAACATTCATCCCAATACAGATAAAATGGATTCAAGGATCAGGGTTTTACAAGTCTATCAAGGAACTAAATGACCTCCAAACAAGAATATTGGGAATGTTTGGAGAGATTCTCCCTTTGCTTAAAGTTAGAAACATAAAATATTTATGGCCTCCTCTTTAAACAAATTTCTGCAAAAGTACTTTACCTGTATGGGTGTGCCAGTAAGACACCATCGCCGACCAGCAACTAAAGCAGCAGCAGCAATGGAAATTTGGCTTTTTGAGGATTTTATGGTATGCGCCTCATCAAGAACCACTCTAAACCAACTAACCGAGTAAAGTCCCCCATTTTCCTTTGGATTCTAGATGGAAGGAGAAAGTGGGGTAAAGTTAAAAAGAAAAGAAAAGATGCAGAAATTCATTTTCTGTTGAGATGTGCGATACTCAAAAATCTGCATGATATACAGGTAGGAGTTGTTTGGATACCTCAGCAGAATATTCAGAGGCTAACACTCCATATGTAGTGATTACGACATCACTTTGAACTAAAAATTTTGCATCCTTCGGTCTACTTTGTCCATAATGAACATATACCGATAGAGACCCAGGTTTAGCATGAGTTTCGATCTCTGCCTGACAATACAGACAAATATTTAGATAACTCTTGAATATAGAAGATTTATCACTGTGCACTGGTATTCGTGCAAGTAAGTAGAACTACAAAAATGTTCTTCAAAATGACAATATCTACCTTCCACTGGCCTAGAAGAGTCATAGGACATATAATCAAACAACCACCATCCTCAACCGTGTTTTTTTGCTTCAACAACTTATCAAATCCTGAAAATTTTGGGACCTTCTTTGGTAGGTCTGATGAGTGGTCTGCAATGTCGGGGACTTCAATATCTTCACTGGAAGACTGGCTTGTAGGGTAACTAACTGATAATCCATGTCCTGAATGAGTAAGAAGGAGCGATATCGTCATAATGGTCTTCCCCAAGCCCATAGCATCAGCCAGAATCTTCAAATGCATAGTAAAGGCAACACAATCAACAAACTTGATAAAAATGTTTGAAAAAAATGTATATAATCAAGGGTGGAGCCAACTTAAGACTTACTCCTCCTCTGGCCATTTGAAGTGTGCTTGGAAATTCTGTTGTTGCATCACCAGAAAATGCATTCAAATAGATAACACGGTCCCTCCTATATGCAAAGGGCCCTATGAATATCAAATCATAAAGTAGGATAATACAAGATTAACAAACCAGCGTACTTGTCTGCAAGACGATATGCCTCCCAACAAGGGTGAAGAGTCATTGCTCCCTCATCCATGCAGTGTCCCTTTTCCAGTTGGATCATCCAATGAAGAGCCTGCTTTTGGTACGGCCGAAGTTCACACTGAAGTGTACCTGGGGGATCCATTTCCTGAAATAAAATACTTCCTTGGTGAATTTTCAGGTACATGCAGGAGCAAGCTCCATATATGTACAAGATCAGCGTCTAATACCTCTAGCTCAGAGCTGTCACCAATACCAACAATGTTTTCAAGATCAGCATCTGAAATAGACTCCTCATTTTCAACTTCATCTCCATTTTGACCAGGGATTTTAGGCTTATTGGCACGTAATACTGGGGCACAAAGTCCAAAGCTATCCTGTTCAGGCAAAAATTACCCACTGAAATCCCGAGAAAGTAATTGGAGGAAAAAGCATTACCATTTCAATACCTTTGGGTCCAAAGGGCGCTTTCTCGTGTACAAGTCACTCGGAGTAAATTCTGCCTATTAAAAACAAATAAAGGAACAACAACATCACCACCTCTGAACCAAAAGAAACAAGTTGAAAGCAAGGCCAAATACTTAACTTCCATAAAAAAGTGTCCATATGTCATTTACAAAAATTGATCACCTTCTTGAAAGGAGTCAGTCCTAGCAACCGGAACAATGTTGGAAGAGGGTGAACCACTGTTTCGTCAGTGGAATTATTGGCTGCCTTAAGTGAGGTCTTGTTTTGCTTAAGGAACATTGAACTATTGATATACACACTGAACCGCCCCATTAAAAAACAAAAAACAAGAACCAAGAAACAAATTTATCAACCATATGCATTACTTAATCAATACAAAATCATGCAAACTATACTTCAGAACTGTCATTAACAAATTATCGAAAGTATTGGTCTTCCCGAAGAGTATACCTTATTGACAAAAGAATGGTGTCCATAATGCTCAACACA